GGAAATGAGCTCTCGAGGTGTCATTTTTATTTTCTTTTACCACAAATAGTTGAAAGTAATCGAAAAATTGTCATTTATCCACAGAAACATTGACCAAAATTAGCTATGTGTGTGGAGATATTCATACTAAAACAGCTTAAAGATAGCACAGAAATATGACAAAAAAATAATTTAAGTAATGTGGTAAAATGTGGTGTGGTTTCAAAATGAAACACTTCACAGGAACAAAAATAAAACAATAAAAATGTAATTTTGTACTCATAAGATGAGCTTAAAAAAATGATGTTTGTTTAATGTGCCTAATAAAACCTAACCTTCATGATGAGCCTATGTGTCTGCCAAAATAATAAATGTTTCTAAAGGATGAGAGAGTTTTCCAAACAGGTTCTCAACCCCTGTTAAATTTAACGCCAAACAGAAGGGTCAACTGCCATAAAATGTGTTAATGTTTCAGCAAATAAACCTCCAACCTTCTTCTCTCTTCTTCCCAGTGCAAAGAGAGAAAGGTTACACCAGCCTGCAGGACGAGGCCGTGAAGATTTTCAACTCTCTCCAGGAGATGGAGGCAGTGTCCGATCCTGTGCCAATCATCCAGGGAATCCTGCAGACCTGCCAGGATCTGAGGTCGTTGAGAGATGAAGTCTACTGTCAGCTGATCAAACAAACCAATCACGTCCCACACCCCAACAGTCCTGCCAACCGTGCCCACTGGCACCTGCTCACCTGTATGAGCTGCACCTTCCTGCCCAGCCGAGGCATCCTACGCTACCTCAAGTTCCACCTCAAAAGGTTCAACCAGATATGGAAACTTTCACTCCAAATTCTGTGTCACTGTATCCGACTGAAACTCTTCTTAATTTTTTTTAAAAATTCTCCATTCTTTAGGATAAAGGAGCTTTTCCCTGGCTCAGAGATTGAGATGTTTGCTCATTTCATCTGTGAGTCTCTGAAGAAAACCAAGACCAGAGAGTTTGTTCCTTCCCAAGAAGAGATCATTGCACTGTTGACCAGACAGGAGATGACCACCACAGTCTACTGCCATGGAGGAGGATCCTGCAAGATCTCCATTAACTCACACACCACCGCTGGAGAGGTTGGGATTTTTGTTGTACTTCAAAAGTATGAACCTGAAGAAAATTTGATGGATGAAATGACCCCTCGGACATTTTTGTCCTGTTTTGCCTCAGGTGGTCGAGAAGCTGATTCGAGGTCTGGCCATGGAGGACAGCAGGAACATGTTTGCTCTGTTTGAACACAACAACAACATCGACAGAGCTGTGGAAAGTCGAGTCCTAGTGGCCGACGTTTTGGCTAAATTTGAAAGGTGAGTGAAAACACATAATACCAAAGTGGGGGGTGCGGAGCTGAGTAGGGGGTTGGAGCCAGTCGAATCCATTAGAAAAATGTTAATATTTGTGCCACGGTGAGGAAAGTATGTGTTGGTGGTGGGGTGTGAAAATAATCCTACAGAAGGGGGCGCTGCAGGAAAAGTTTGTGAACCACTGCTCTATGTGGATAATGGGATACTGAAAAACAAGACTGCTGGTGCCACAGTTTAATATTTGACGAGTTTCCCTCCACTCTGTGGCTTTCTCTCCAGACTGGCTGGAAGTGAGGAGTCTGAGAACAATGGACAGTGGAAACTTTATTTCAAACTTTACTGCTTCCTGGATGTGGAGAGCATGCCTAAAGAAGGAGTGGAGTTCGCCTTCATGTTTGAACAGGTGGGTTTCACCTAATCTGGAATTATTATTTTTACCATATGCAGCGGTAAAATATGAAACTCTGCTTCTTTAGGCACACGAGAGTTTGACCAGAGGCCACTTCCCTGCCCGGGAGGAGACCCTTCAGCACCTGGCTGCTCTACGCCTGCAGTTTCTGTACAGTGACAAAGCTAAAAAGGTCACCTGGAACCTAGAAAACGTCTACCCCGTGGGACGCCTGCGAACTCGCATCCTGCAGTTCACCAAGTCAGGCGGAGCCGCAGGGTCGGGGACGGGGTCAGGGACGGGGTCGGGCCAAACTCTGGAGCGTCGTAGGACCAGCTTCCTGGAGGGAACACTGCGTCGTAGTTTGAAGAGTGGCTCCATGAAGAAGCAGCGCATGGAGGAGGAGCAGATGTTGGAAATGTGGATAAAGGAGGAGATGTCTGCCACCAGAGCCAGCATAGTGGAGAAGTGGTCTCGCCTCACGGGTCTGGACCAGCACCAGGCCATGCTTAAGTACATGACCATCATCAAAGAGTGGCAGGGATATGGATCCACACTGTTCGACGTTGAGGTATGTGAGGAAACACCAAGGGGTTTTAATGTTTTAACGCTGCCGACGTTGAGGTATGTGAGGAAACACCAAAGAGTTTTAATGTTTTAACGCTGCCTGTAATTTCCGGGTCTAATGAAGTGTAAAATACCAAAGTTATAGACACAAAGCCTCACTTTTATTGTGTTTTTAAATCTCTGTAGTGTAAAGAAGGAGGCTTCCCTCACGACCTGTGGCTGAGCGTCAGTGCTGAGAACGTGTCCGTCTACAAAAGAGGAGAACCCAAGCCTCTGGAGACGTTCCCTTACGAGCACATCATCTTCTTCGGTGCTCCACAGCCGTGCTCCTTCAAAATCACCGTGGACGAGCGAGAACTGTTCTTCGAAACCCCACAGGTACGCAAACACGACAGGCATCTGTGCGCAGGCAGCAGGTCAGAGTGGGCGTGTGTCTGTCTGCGTTTTAACGACTGTGTTTTGATGATGTCTCTACAGGTTGGAGAGATCACAAAGATCATGAAAGCCTACATCAACATGATAGTGAAGAAGCGCTGCAGCGTGAAGTCTGTCTCCAGTTATGGAACCAACTGGATCAGGTGATCGTCAAGAACCAGATGTTTTCAACTGTCACGGAACTAAACTTCAGTCCGGACGAATCAGAGGGGGAGAGCAAATGACTTTGACAGAAAGTGTGTCAGTTATGAGGAAGATTCCTGTCCTGAGAGACTGTGAGCTGATGTCCCTCATATCTGGGACATCGTCTGACGCATCTGCAGCATTTTAAGCTTTTTGTTTAAGCAGTTGTCTCCTACCATGAAGAACTCCAAACTTTATTTACACTGGTCATGTCTTTCCATCTACCTAAATGGTTAATTCAGGTAACAGTGTTAATGTGCTTTTTTCTTCACCAAAAAAAATAATTCAACCCTCATAACAACAACACAGCAAATTCAGACTTCAGATGGTCATTTAGACTTGGTCTAACACAAAGCCATTCAGCCCACACTGTGTAAAAGGACATGTTGCAGTGGCAAACAAACAAGCAGCAGAACACTGACTCATGGAGTCACTCAGAGTGTGTCCTTCAGCCCAGTGGAAAGACTGTTCTCCTGAACGGAGGTTTCCCTCAGGTTAAAGTGTAAAAAAAAAGGTGACCCCTCCTTGGAGGTCACCTCCCTCTTCTTGCCTTATTTAAATTTTTATTGTATCTATTTAATCAGGACTAGCAGATGGTATGAAAATGTGGCCTTTCAGGAGTGGAGTCGACTTGTTGAGGTATTACTGTAGTGTCTTCAGGCTCTCTGTTTATAATACGAGGAGTAACCACTGCATCAGTGGAGATGCAGCATCCACAACCACTGAAGAGGAGTGTTATCTCAAAAGCAATATTCCCTTCATAAAACCAATGGATTTCATTGGCTTGTCTTCTTGGTTTTTTTTTTACCCCAAATTGGTGTAGTCTTATAGGAAAGCATGACGTTTTCTGTACAGATTGTCATTTTCTTGGTAAGGTCAGAGGTCACCAGAGGCGGGAGAGCTATTTATTTAAGTTCAAATGGATGTAAGAATAAGCTCTGACAAATTCACTGTGCTGGAAATGTAATGATTATAGTAGCAGGTTATGCAGTGGATACTTATAGGCCTTTGGAGAGTTGTTTATGATTTGATCATGATTTGATGACTTTTCCAGGTTTAAAATCATATTTTGATTTTTTTTTGTCCATGTAACAACTTGAGTGACGCCGTTTGTAAACAACAAGGTGAAAGGATTGAAGTGTTTTTGTCCCATTCTGTGTCCCTGTCTTCCATCTGTCTCCGATCCTACTAACCTAGGCCTTCTGGTCAGCTGCCGGCAGCCACACCAGAGACTGATCTCGCCACTGACGCTGACTGTATTTCTGAGACTTCTGATTGTTTTGAAGAAGTGAAATCAGAAGATGTTTTATATAATGAGATTTAAAGATGCTTTAATAAATTATTTCAAACACTGTTGTCCTTCTTGTCCTCCCTCTCGTTGTGACTATCTCCTCCTGTTGTATCAACACAAACTGTGTAATATGTCAGCGTGTGTGTGTGTGAAACAGTGACCTCTAAGGGTCGGACTATGGTAGAGCGCAGGAGAGAGGAGACTGCTCCGCTCACCCCTCCTCCTGCAGATTGTGTTTCTAGTCAGAAAAGTAAAAGGAAAATTGTAAATGGTTATGTAGCTTAGTATTAAATACAAAATAACAAGGGTGTCTTTATACAGGGACTGGCGCCATCTAGTGGAAGGTAAAAGCTACAAGCCTTTAAACATGTTAAAACCATTTAAATTGATTATATTTAAATAGGTGAGATTAGACTTCATTGGTTGAACACTGGAGAAAAAATGACACAAAGAGGAGAAAAGCTGTTTCACTGCTAAGATAAAATTCACTGTGTAATGAAATATACAAAAAATAAAATATATTTTAACAAAAGCCAAGTATTTTATATAATATATATGTAATATTGCAGAATATCTCTGGTTTTATTTATTTATTTTTTAAAATCAGAATTCAAACTTTATATGGCTGTCGTCCACTGATGTTTGGGGTTATTGTTCGCCTACGGCACCAAAATGGCTCCATTTATAAAAAACACAACTTTTTAAAAGAGATAAATATCTAAAGTAGGAGTTCCTGTTCCATCTGCCCATGACTCTGCTGGTCGCTGGTCTGGAGACCATTTTTACACAACCATCTACTGAGGGGGTTCCACATGTTTTCACTCTGCAGATGTTTCTTGTTTACAACCAGCGTCGGTAGCTCGTGACGTCATCCCGTAAATCGTAAACCGCGGTCCAGCCTCGGACTGAGACTCTACACCACACACACAAACAGTTGATTCAGTAACAGTCGGAGGAATATCCCGCTCCTCTCAGCATGTCTCCACTCCTCCTCTCCTTCGTCCTGTGCGGGGTTCTTGTGAGCTCACTGGCGCAGACACCGACTCCTTCTCCCGCTCCTGGTGAGTGACTTCTCCGAGGTTCTGAGGAGGAGGCTGGGGTCAGCTGACCGGTTCCGTCCAGGTCAGATCGGCTCAGCAGACTGTCACATGACAGACTTGAGTCAAGTGGACTTTTTCTTTTTTGGTTCTTATCGCAGTAAAAGTTAATGATAGTCATCTGTCTTCACGTGACGGTCCTTCTTCAGTTCAAGACATTTTGCTGAAGTTAGCAGTTAGGAAATGCTACTTTTAGGCTCTGGTTTGTAGGAAAGTAGGAGGCTAAGAGTCGACGTCAGAGGTTCGATGACATGTTGATTTTGTTTAAATTTAAATGTATGCACAAACAAGAACAAAATATTTGTGTAGTCAAAATTAAATGTACACTACGTACATTAAATGAGATTCAATTTTGTTTTCCTAAAAACCTTAAGAAGGCGTAAAACATGGAGGAACATTCTCCATTCTTTGTTTGTTTTTGGGTTTGTTTTTTGTTTGTTTTGTTTGCTTTTTTTTAAACCTAAGAGTACCAGAAGAAATAAGGTCACCTTTTTTACTGTATGCATTTTTGCACTTTGGCAATGAAGCTGATTCAGATTTCTTAAGCAGTAGAGGAAGTAGAAAAAACTTCATTGATCCTGAGAGGGGAGTTCACTTGTTGCACAAAAATTTAGAGAATCCGTACTTTTTTTTAAATTTTTCTTTTTACTTATCAAAAAAATGACTAAAGACTAATTTTTAAAACTAAGGAAGTCACGCAGAGAGATGGATAAAAAGACATACACAAGGTAATTGTAAATCGAAAATAAAGTTCTTCTCTGCAATCAATAAATCATATTATATATCAAATCATAAATACATCATATATAAATCAAATAGATGTGTGTAGTAGTTACAAAAACATGTTTTAGTTATAAAAACCAAAGACCCCTCTGAAATTGAAATGTCTTTTTTAAGCTTTGTCGTCATCATACAGTATGTCTTTACTCAAACAAAAAAAATTCCATAAGACAGAAAGGAATTCTTTATCTTTCTTTTGGCCACAATGGAGCTCCATAAGTACATAAAAAAAGTACAGCACACACCACAACCTGCCCTGAAACGTGTCCTGTATCTGTGTCCGTTCCAGCCCCTTGTGCCCAGAGCTCCAACAGCAGCTGTGAAGAATGTCTGATGAACGTGGACTGAAGCCGGTCCTCCAGTTCTCTTGTTGTCTTTTGATATTCGTTACAGTGTTTGATGTCTGTGGCTGTAACTGTTGCAGTGTCTGTGGTGTGAAGCAACAGGACAATGTGTCGACTACCCGGTGAGGAACATCCTGCCCCCCTGCAGTGTGTGTCCTTTGACTGATGCACGATGGGGGGTCTGTTGGGGTAAGACTCGACAAAGGAACCTGAACCTAAACCTTCAATAGGACTTTGATAAGGGATGGAAAAATCTGAAAGCTAAAGGTTAAGACAACGGCGAGAATAACGTCTAGTCTGTCACTGGTTTAAGATGTTAGGTATTTATCGCAGAATCTCCATGTTGGTGAATTTGTGAAGTCAATCAGATATTGATTATGCACTCTTTGATTTAGTTTGTCTCCTAGTCTTGAGTCAAAGGAGTTTCAAGTCCATCAGAAGCAGTTACTTTAACAAGGGATTAACATTAACAGGTTAAACCTAAACTAAAGATTGGACCAAAAGAGACTCACAGTAAAAAGCTTAGTCATGGCCAACTTTTAGATCATGACCTACATTTTTAACCTCACAGGTTTAGAGCTGCGTGGAATTTGGACACCATACGGTCAATCAGTCAAGTGAACGATTCAAATTATTACAGAAAATTAAATGTAATTCAAAACATTTTGTTTACTCTTGTTCATAAAGAAATATAAACTTATTATTTTAAGGCATGCTTCAAATATAGTTTTTTTCCAAAGTATATGCCGTCCACTATTATAATTCAATATTTTTTCCTTTGATACAGTCAACTTCCAGGTCTTGATCATCACCATGTCGGTGCTGGCGGGCATCGTCGTCATCGCCGTACTCGTTTGCTGCTTCTGCTGCTGCTGCAAATGTGAAAGAGCCGGGTAAGAACACAAAGTCACATGAGGTGCTGGCTCTGAAATCTGGTTCAGGGTAAAGGCCTGGGTAGGAGACATGGAGGGGGAGGGGGAGGGAGAGGAGCAGGAGGGGGAGGACAATGGGTTGTTTTTCTGCCTGACCAGGCTGATACTGCCGTCTCCAAACCCCTGCCAGAATTTGTGACTGAAGTTGAGCTTTGAAATGTTAAATGTGTTTATTCTGTCATGATGAGTTGATTTAATCATTTAAATATTATATAAATGGGTGTTTTTGAATTAGTTTACGTGAGCACAAGTCATTTAGGGAGCATCATGGCTTTGAGGACATTTCTAACCCAGAAGGTTGGAGGTTAAATTCCAGGCTAAGGTTTGCCTGACTGGTGACACTGACATATTGAACCCAGTTGGTGACCTTCTATTGCCTGTCCAAAACCCCCTGACTAATGGAGAGGCTTTTTTTCCATAATGTCCATCTGGTGAGAGAAACTGTGCCAAATGACATCATGTAGGTGGAAGGAGAAAAGCTCAGGGTGTTGCTGTTATTTCACCACACAGGCAAAAAGAAAAATGTTCATCTGTGACATTTATTTTACAATGATACAAAAATCCTCTGTTCTAGAAACAGGAGAGAAGATGCACAGGTGGAGCGACAGACCCGTGTGAGGAAGGCTCGTCAGAAGGCAAAGTAAATGTGGACATTTGACTGTAACCACTGCAGACATGATTGAATGTCATGATGAGCATTACTTTTCTGTTTGTTTTAATGGTAAACCGCTGCTAAATCGAAAAGTTTGAACTAGTTTGTCTCTCCCTTTAGACAAGACACACACATATATACACATAGTTACAAAAAATATAGTTAGAATCCAAATCAGAGATAGTGAACTATAACTTACAAAGATACACATTAGCTCAAATGTTTAGTTTAAGCTGGTAAAATATTATACAAATATTAAAGTACTCCCCCTCTGAACTTCTCTTTGTTGCAGGAGAACGGAAATGCAGCTAAGGCACGATGAAGTCAGACAGAAATATGGTAAGATTTTTGTTTTAATCTTTATTTTTCCATTTATATGTTTTGGGGCGACATAGTTCAAGGAGGAGGATTAAAATATTCATGTCAATTATACACAAAGACATTCCTGTAGATCCACTCAAACCTCAAAAGGAAACATACATTAACCATGTCAATTATACACAAAGACATTCCTCAAAAGGAAACATACAGTAAGTATTATAACAATGATGTACCATTAGTGTCCCCTAGTGGAGAAACATTGCCCTACATAAACCTGAGGCGTGTGAATTTTACTTTTGCAACTAAAGTTGTTCTGTGTCTGTTTGTCATAAATAGATTTGACCTCACCTTTTCTCCACTTGTCTTTTGCAGGTCTGGCAAAGGAAAACCCATACTCACGTATGGACGACCGTTAGGAAGATTCAAAGAGATTACTTGATTTTGATGTGTGGCAACTTTGATTGACTTTACATGTAGTTCCGTTTTAAGCAAAATGGTTTAAAATCCTATTGAGTGAATTTGCACTATTTCCCTGTAATGATGTGTTTTGTTTCTCTTAATTGTGACATAATTCACTGTCTGCCATTCATATTTCTACTGGCTTTGTTTTGCGATTGATATGTAAAAATATTCACATTTAATTTGCTTTTATTACACTCACTGTCTTTCATTATGGGAACAATTCATTCATTATTCATTTGCGTAAAATACAGTTTTGTTGAATCTCCGACCACTTAAGAGTTTATTTGCATATTTCGTGTACACATTTCACTCTTATTTTGCAGAAGCCCTAGTTTTCTCCTCCATCCTCTCACAGTCACACCTCACAGTCGGTCCTGTGATGGAAATGTGAATTTTCCTTCTGTTTTACTTGTACGTTGTTTTTCATTCTGAAATGAAGATTCGTTCATCAGGAAAATAGCTGCCTTACTGTTTGGTTTATTTTCACATTTAAAGTTTTTTTCATTATTATAATTATTTAATTTGTTAAAAATGTGTTTAAGCTTACACTAATGCAAGTTCAGGAAAAAAATCTTAATAATTCCCCTTTAGTTCAGACAAATATCTGTAACATGTTGATGTTCCCTTTCTATGTTTTCCCATTTGACAAATAAAGACATGTAACAGGTAGAGAAATGGATATGTATACAGTCAGACAACAAGACTGGTAATAACAGCCATGTAATAATTGTTAGCCTATAAACGTAAGACACAGTGTAGCTAAAACTCATCTAGGCTTTGGAGGCAACATGTGCAGTTAACATAATTATAAATAATGAGCACAATGAAAAACTAAAGAAAAATACTGTTGATAAAAAATAACAGTTGCAATAATTCGATCAAAACTCCTCAATGTTAAATATTTTTGAATATTTATTCGATGTTTTGCTTTTAACTGCCTGTATTCTGACACAATGGGCTGCTTTCACTGAAAAAAGCTGTTTTATTTCAGCTAACCCTCGGGAGCGCGCAAAAACATCTCGCGCGCTCACGCGTGCGCGCTCCCGATTGATAGTGTGTCACGTGATTCATTTGGTCGAATCACATTTTAAATATCAGCGCGCGACCCTGCGGTCGACAAGATAGAACCGGTAGAAGCTGTGAGCAGCTTAACCGTTAACTCCTGCTCTTCATTTTAACTTGGAACCTAAGAGAGGCAGCAGAATGTCCGAGGAGAAGCCAAAGGTAAGTGCAATGTTCGGTCCAGGAAACGACATATTTATTTTTCTCTGCCGCTGTTAATGTTACCGGTAAATACTTAATGTTAGCACGCTTTGCTAAGCTAACTCTGCGCCTGAGCTAAGAGGTGCCGCATTTGAGCGGGTAGTCGTTGAAAACAAAGGTCCATCAATTAGCGGAAAATTAGATTTTTTTGCACAGCATGTTCAATGGCTATCGACCTGTTTCAGTTTTAAGTTTACGGTGTTGTAGATTATGTTTATTGGCTAATTTCGACAGGAGAGATTACCGGTGAAATGTTTGCGCTTTCTTCTCGTTTGCGCCATTGTAGCTTTCTGTACCGGTTTCAACGCAGGCTAGCTCTGCAAGCTAATCGAACAGACTACATGACCTTAGGCGCAAGTTTTTTTTCCAGACCGGCATCTGTATAGGACCTCACCATACACGGAAAATGTGCATGTATGCGTTTTGGTCATTTTTTATATAATTCTATGTATCAATAACATTATAGTCGGCCTCGGTGTTATATTTTGCAACGTTCCATTTTGTCTGTAAATACTTTCCCTTTGGGCTTGTTGGTGTCTAATATCTTCTTATTCTCTTTAACCATGTCTTTGTAATATTGGCTGTTTTAAGCATATTTGCTTATTTATTATTTACCTTATTCACCCTTTGATGCGTCCATTCTGGAGCAAATGTAACAACAGACTATTTTTCCCTTGGTAATTAATAAAGTATTATTGATTCCTATCCGTAGATGTGAAGGGAGCCCATGGGAGCAGATCTACCCTCCCCCTGCAACAACTAATACCATGGCATTGGTCAGCCTTTAGTAGATAAAATAGTACTACACAGTCGTAATCCACAGATATCGTTGGATTGGATAATATAGAACTTTATTAATTCTTTGGGAGGTCCCTTTGGGGAATTAAGGATGTGCAATATATGCCAGGTACTCCGAGGGATACTTTGTATCTTAGCAAAATACTCTAGGTACTTGACCTTTAGAGTAAGGCCATAGGTGTTTCCCCTTTGTAGCCTTTGCATTTTTTTTTTTGCGTTTCCCTTGGTACTTATGATTTATGTATGTGATAAGGTATACTGGACACTGACCATATCTGACCAGGCAGCAGACTGGAAATGTGTTCCCTGGTTTTGTCTTGTGTCCAACAGACTTGGTTTCAACTTTAAGATGTACGTGATGTCAAATACTATGGGTGTTGGAGTTTAGGTTGATCTGGTAACTAAGTCAACTCTTTTTTTTTTTTTTTTTATTGAGAAGTTAAAATTTCAGCATTCATCCCTAATGTATTGGACAAGCAACTGTATGCATGAAACCTCTTGATGCTTGTACCTAAGTGCTTCTGCTGTTTGCTGCAGGAAGGTGTGAAGACGGAGAATGACCACATAAACCTCAAGGTAGCTGGTCAAGATGGGTCAGTCGTACAGTTTAAAATAAAGAGGCACACACCACTCAGCAAATTAATGAAGGCCTACTGCGAAAGACAGGTAGGTGTTTGGGGTTTTATTGTTTTGGAATGTGAATGTTTGCATTGTCTTTGTCGCAGCGAGTTGACTCACAACCTCATTAAAATGCTCCTCTTTTACAGGGTTTGTCGATTCGTCAGATAAGATTTAGGTTTGACGGGCAGCCGATTAATGAAACAGACACACCTGCACAGGTTGGTGTAACAATATTGTATATGTACTGTATTGTACTGGTGTAATATATTTTGTGAAAGTGAAATGCAATGTTGCCGTCGGGTTAGTAATTTTATTGCATTGATAAAATTCTGCTAGGAGAACTTGTGTGCTACATAATGTATTTGAGAATTAGTTAGGTTTAAAAAGTCGAGGGCATTTGAATGAAATGATTTGCTTCAACTGTCTAGCAAATGGAGAAAAGTTGCTATTTCTGACTACCCAAAATTTAAAGTTTGTAGCAGACACTGGTATGCGTTGTTCATACAATTTGTTGCTAGCAAACTAATAAGTAGAGTAGGTTAAAGAAATGCATAAATGCGCAATTAATATACAGAAAGTGAAAGTTTGAATTATTCTCCTTTCTGATTGGGTATGTCTAAAGTCACCCTGTTGTGGATCTGGGTTCACTTGGGAATTTCACGGTTGCCTAAACAGACAACTATGGAATTGATCTTTTTAAGAGTCTTTTAACTAGGGGATGGTTTTTAATTTCTGTGAACTAACTTTGGATTTGTAAGAAATAACTAAAAGGCTGGTCACTCCCACTAATATCCAGATAGTTATTTTATACAGCTTTTAGGGCTGACTATTTTTCTGATTCATGATCCAGCTGTGATGTTTTTGTATGTTGACTGATGTGTGTGTTTTATTTCACAGCTGGAGATGGAGGATGAAGACACTATTGATGTATTTCAACAACAGACGGGAGGCTCGTGCTCCTAAGTCAATGAGAAAACACCCCTCCCATTTTATTATGTTTGTTTTGACTTGCATTTTTTCATTGTGTTATGCTTAATGTTAAGACCATCACAACTTCTACTAAGGATTTTCTTTTGTTTAATTAAGCTGACATGACCTCATTCATGTCACACCCACTAAATCTTTCTTTTCTTGTAGCAAAGACTGGTTGATTTTATTGTTGAAATTTGTTGCAGAAGAGCCTTTGGTTTTGGGAAAGTTGTTGTGGTGTAATGTCAGAGTTTTAGTCATTTAAAAGAAAATCTAATAATTTTAAGTGTCCATATTTTTACTGTTGCAGATAAACATTTTTTCCTTTACCTCACAGTCACACTGCAGACTCAGTATGGTAACAGTAAGATGCCAGTGTTTTTGGACCAAAAATGGTAAATGCTTTTTTGACGAGTTTGGCTAGTACGATGGGTGTAAAGTTTCTGTAAATGGTCTTCTTCCAACTTTTCAGGACCTTTATAGATATTCAGTGATAACACGTCATCTATAGGGTTATATATTTCAATGTATAAATATGTTGCCAATCTACATTTGTCTTAATATATCCATATTATCAACACGTTAGCTTGTTGGACTTTTGTGGGATGGTCAGTAGAAAATCTTCTTCATGCATCTTCATTTACGAAGTTAAAATTCGCCAAGTGTTATTGGCTGATCTACTGTTTTTAAATTGTGCATTATTTGTTGTCCCTATACTGTATACAATAAATATAGTTTGATACTCAGAATCCTGCAGAATCTGCCTGTTTTCATTGTTGTCGTCAGCTGACTGCGAGGCCGATATCCTGCTGTCTTGAAAATCTGTCAGAAAATTAATCTTGGCCCAGTCTTTCCTATAAAGTTAAATCAGATATATTTACTAACCAGTAGAGGTCACTGTTGCTCTGCACGTCTCTGGTTACGCTATTGACTTCTCCGCCCTGTAAATCACAATACAAAGACACGTTTGTTGCCCCGCTCGGGGATAGTGTAGACCATAACTTCATGAGTCTCCTTATTTAAAACAACTTAATTTCACAGATGTTACTAAAGTGAGCAGCCAAGTGAACTCTCTGACGTTCTTGACACACTGGTCTGATTGTGCGCACTTGCTTTTTGGCAGCCCACGTGCATTTCATATTTCCTTATGGAGAGGTCTTTATGAACCCTCACCTCCTGGAGATACAGCTGCAGCCCGCAGGGTGCCTCCATGACATGTACGTACCTACACACCATGGTCTCTAATTTACGGACTCTTGGAATAATATACTTTACGCGGTGTTTGCTGAAGTGCAGCACGCTCAAACCAATGTTGTCATACATGGACGGTAAATTAGCATTAGAAGATTAAAGATGGCCGCTATATTTCTTATTTCACAACACTTTAGAGAAAATAACTTGTAAATTATAAAACGTATAAATAACTTAACATAAATGTAGATAGTTTTTGGATTAAATAATGATCAAATGTAAACATTTATATTCAAAAGTAAGTATTAAGCTACTTATTTTACTTTTTCCAAGCAATTTGTGCTATATGCTAAGTTCAACTTAGCATACAGCCTTAATTAGCTTCTTGGCTAATTGAGAGTTTTTAGGTAATTTAGTAATTTAGAATTAGCTTCTTGGCTAATTGAGAGTTTTAGGTAATTTAGTCCTTTTTTTATCTCATATTTCTAACAAAGTGCAATATTCTTGTATTGGATACGTCTTCTTGTGGCAACCTCTTAGTAATGTATTTATTTATGTTTATCTTTGCCTAATACTGTTCAGAAAACAGAAAACTGTTTTTCATCATCTTTAGCTATATTTTTGTTTAGAGTTTTATGTGCCACAAGAGTCAGACTGGACCTTCACCGGAAACGTGACAATTTCTAAACATGTTTTGCTTTGAGCGGCTGCTGATTTCTAAACATACTGTGTGCTGTCTGTGCTTAAGAGCTCATTCATTTGTCATGTGCTGTTTGCAGTCAGTGTTGGAGGACAATGTGGTTATTATTGCACTGAGATAAGGGATGGATTATACCAAGCAGAGCAATCGCATACTGTGTGTATGAGTTGTAGTAAACATATGCTTCTGTAAGTGCTGCACGATCATTTATACAGATGCATTATTCACATAGAAACAACCTACATTTGCTTTTTCTTTTAGATATTGCTGGCTAACCTTTAGCTTTCCTCAGTAGCATCGTCACTTTATCCTACTTTAACTTATTTCACTGATTCTTTTTGGCTACCTTTTTGTCTCTATTTTTTTCGGAGGCTGCTGCTAAATATTTGCTAACATTTAGTCTACCGTGTAGCAGTTTTGTAGGTACCTGATATAAAACACTAAACTTCTTCTTTTTAATTAGCTCCAGTCATAGTGATGGTCTCAACAGAAGGAGGAGGGGTCTTAGGACCTAGCAATTGAGCTTAGCTTGTATTGAACGTGTGAGGTCACTCAGCTGCAGCGTTTCACAGCTTCATTGTGTCCAGTCAGCTAACCCTCCATTGTGAAGCCTTCTTCTCCTGAATCAGCCCAGCATCATGAATGAAGCCAGTGTGCATCTGGAGAGTCTCTGGACCGTCTCCAGAGGTCCAGATGCTGACGTCACCCTGTTGTGTGTAATGTGGTCTCCACCCTGTCAGCAAATCAGATTTCACACTACTGCCTGCTCCAAGATCTCAGGGGGGAGTATACACTTCCGACTGTGACCCATTTAATATTAAAATTTACAGTTTTAATGGACTTTTCAGTGAAGTATTGATTTTTGTTTTTGCTCTTATCTAGGGATGTGTCAAGATATTATATAGCCTGGGGGCAAAGACTCCTGGGTGGCGGTGGGATGTGTCAAGATATTATATAGCCTGGGGCAAAGACTCCTGGGTGGCTGTGGGATTTGACCCTTTAATTTGTCTGATGTCAAGACAAGAGCTGGAGACAGAGAGACTTGAGACTTTTTTTTCTCCATGTCTTAGTTCGGTTTGAATAATAGGTTCAAGTTTGATCAGAGATCCACTATCATTATCACATGGTCCAAATGTGGGTGTAAACCACCAGAGTAGTACATCTCTGACCCACAACAATCATGTGGCTTGGTGCAGTCACGGTCATGGTTGACCAGAGGTTTACACAGACAGGGGACGTGAATAATGATATTAGACGCACCTACAGAGTTCTCCTCTGGTTACAGCGTGTTAAGCTGCCTGGTAGGTAAAAAAGAAAAGAAAAACTGTGACTGTAAAAACACAAATCACCTCATTGGAGTTTGTTGTTTTTAAAGTGTGGTCTATTTTACTAATTAAAGTCAAATTCTGTTTTCACTTATCACTAATGTTTCTTTCTGATTTGGTTTTCACCTCACCTCTACCATAACCCACATATGATCTAATATGACGTCACCTCACCTCTACCATAACCCACATACTGTATGATCTAATATGACAGTTGATTTACTCAGTGTTTTTATGGCATTAGCCAACTTCTTGTGCCTCATCCTTTTCGTCCGTATGCACATGAGAAACTGAAGTGTCTTCTACACGCCTCCTTGGTGCCTGGCCATGTGTGCATGCGTGTGAGTGTGTTAGAGAGCTGCAGGCTTTTAATGCCATTAAATGTGTGTCAGTTTCAGCAGCAGAGTGTTTTCCCCACCGCCTCAGGTCATCTGTTGAGGAGCAGGCGCTCTGAAAGTGCAGTAGTATTTTTAAGATTGGTGGGTGAAGTCAAACTTCACTCAGGATCTCTGAAGGGATTTTTGTCTTATTGAAACAGTCTTTTTCAGATGTTTGGTCAGTGATGGTGTTCATCATGTGATGAAGGTTCATGATCCTTAATATTAGCAGAAATTAGGAAATCCTTCAAAATAGATTTTAAATGTGTAAAATATCTTCAGTTCTTCATTCTTCTTCATTTAGCAACTGCACCACTCAGTCAAATATTTTCACCACATGCTGCATCAGTACGATCACGGGGGGGGGGGGGGGGGGGGGGGGGGTCTTACATCATTAAATACAAAAAGACATTCCTTCATCCATCTGCTCCATGAATGTTCTCTAGTATTGTGTCATTAAAACCTTTTATTCTTTCATTTCATTAAATCTTCATCGTACGTTACATTGTCAATGTGAAACGTTGCCATTACATTGGTTAACTGAAGAGTTTATGGTCTTAAACACTATTTAATGTCGTTCACGGTGGAAAATGATATAATTATAGCCTTTGAGTTATGGAGTAACAGAGTTTAAACCACCCCAAGACGTACGGGGTTTCTAAGTTTGCCGAAAACACGTGTGATTCACACATTGACGTCAGTTGCAACCAGGCTCCTATTAACATCTGTTATCGTCTAAAATTGTTCAGAGATTTACTAAGTTGTCATTTGTACAAGAAAGAAGTGTAGGGTGCTGCTCTTTTGATAAATAAATGTCAGTGGCATCAATGTTTTTGTGGTTAAGTTAAAAGTTTCTTTTTCAGATATTGTCAAAATATGTCAATAATTATAACTGAAATATTGAGTCGTAGATTGTTTTTTGGATATAAAGACAGTGTTGTCAACAAAAAGGCACACACTTTTGTAATTGTATTCTGAGCATGTTTAGGGCCCAAAAGTAAGAAATTGGCCTGATGGTAAACTGATTCTGAACTGTGGGTTCAAATCCCACATATTTCCCTGTCTTTACGTGTACAATGACAGAAAAAATTGATTCAGAACCTTCACAGACAAAAATATTTTATCGCAGGTTCAAATACTGAACGTGTATAATGTTTATGTACAACTTCTCCTTTGACATTATAGTACGTCTTGGGACTTTTTGACTCACACGTGACAGAATCTGAGGGAAATAAACAAACACACATGGAGGAAATAATTCATTCACCCCGGGGGCCCCTGGGTGGGTGGGTTGGGGTGGGGGGGCACAAAGGACTCAAAGTACCACAATGCATCACAAACTAAATATCGTCTCCCTTGGTTACAGCTTTGGGAGCTACGCCCCACAGAAGAAGGAGAAGTGGGAGGTTAGTCCCTGAAAGAGCTCATTGTAGGGAGGGATGAGTTCATGTGAGTGTGTGTGAGGAAGGAAGGACCCCCTCCCCTGTCACAGGCTGATCAGCAGAGCAGGGATTAGGAAGAGCAGCCCCGATCACTCACACACAGGAGCACAGACGCCAGTCCAATAAGCGTGAATCATGACCGCCGTCATTATTACACACTGGGAGTGGAGTCGGAATTGTGCAAGATACGGATAACAGCGTGTGGACCCAGCCAAGTTTCCACACATCTCCGCGATCCTGCCGTGAAAATGCCCCACCGGGGGCTCTGCTGCTGCCGCCGCCGCTGCCCGGACCAAACGCTCCATTCTCCCGCTGCGACGGCTGCTGCCTCCTCCTCCTCCTCCACCGCCTCTTCCTTCTTCTCCACATGTGCTTCATGTTGAAGAAGTTAAATAAAAAACCAAAAAAAAAATCCAGCGAGGGCAACCGATCTCAACTAGAGACATCTGAGCGGATATTTTGACTCTTTTTTTTTTTTTTTTTTGCGGAGGCGTTGCACGAGTGGACGTGGTTGTTTTGCTGAAAGCGAGGAAAAGTTGGTACTTGTTGGTCAAACAGTCAACATGGGGAACGCAGGCAGCCTGGAGCAGCACACTGATTTCAGAGGACACGGCATGCCTCTGAAGCTGCCCATGCCTGATCCAGGGGAGCTGGAGGAGAGATTTGCCATCGTTTTGGTAAGAAACACGAACCTTGTGTGCATGTGTGTGTGTGTGTGTGTGTGTGTTTGTGTGTGTGCGTGTGTATGCGTGTCTCTGTCTCTTTGTTCCCTCCACGCCTCAGTGTCCTGGGACGAAGACAGCTGTGTGCAGGGTTTGGTCCTCTGTCCCAGCAGCACGTCTGCCTCTGGCTTTGTTGTTCACTAAAAGGGTGTTTCCAAAAAAAAAAAAAAAAAACTCCCTGAGATGTCCAGGTTCAGCATTTTTTAAAATCTAGATCCTTAAACTTGGATTATTCAGACTCAACAAGTTTCAACTTTTTTCATCCACCGTTTACTGCCTAGGCAGGTCGATCATTAGCCAATCCTAGCAGTCATGGGCTGAGGGTGGGGTTCACCCCGGACAGTTAACTGCTGCATCACAGACCCACAAATAGACATTAACAACCATTAACATCCACATTTAATTAGATTGAAAAATTCAACGGGGTTCGAACCCCCGATCTTCTCGCTGTAAGGCCAGAGCACTAACCATTGTGTCACCACGTTGCCTTCGACTTTATTGGGCTTCTGTATTCCCCAGCCTGAAGACAACCTGTAGTCGCGACCTCAAAGTGAATTATTACTTTCATTAGAAACTCCTTCTCTTTCTAGCTTCTAACTTTTATGAGCGCAGGCGTTGGCTTACTGCTGCCCAGGCCGCCTGGTCCTCTGAAACATCTGTCACATCATAAAGTAACAACGACATCTGTCAACAATTACGTTACCTGGGTGGGAAACGGCAACAACAACAACAAAACACTAGTAATGCAGAATGTTGCTGATGTGAAGAGAACGGACGTGAAAGTGCTAACAGGTCCATTAGTCGGACACAAGTGCTGAATGGACACTTTGAAAAATCTGTCTTTTCTGAAGGAGTGGTCACATGTTGACTCAAACTGTCAGCAACACCATTGTTGACAGAAAGGTTGATTAATACTCGCACTGCTGCGAGTCGCCCACTGAAGCTGCTGAGGTTTATTACAGTAATGTATCTCCAAATATATGCCTAGTCCTAATCCTAACCCTGACTCTAATCTGATCCTAGTTCTTTTTCTTTTCACATAAATGTCCCCACAAACATAGCAATACCAGGAACACACAAATACACACAGAAAAACATGTAAACTAATTTACTAGACACAAACACAGTAGTGGAAAACTGCATATTTGTACCATATGAAATGTAAATACTCTGATAGAAACGTTCTTACAGCATATATTATTTGGAATCAGTTATTGGGGGTCAGTGCTGTTGTAGAAACTTTTTTTTTAAACTAGCAACTTTTCAAAGTATATATTTTCAAAGTATTTTTTTTAACCCGGTTGACATAACTTGCAGTATTATCATGGTATTTATATACTAAAAGTGGAAGAGGGAACTGAGAGTTGAACTGTAAAATATTTGCTGATATGCGATGAGAATTTTATTCTCTCTTTTTTTTTCTTTATTTAAGTGAAAACAGTTTAGTTTAGTGACGAGGCAGAGGAAGTCCAAAGTTTAACCAAAGTTTTGTCTCACACACAAAAGTTTTTGGTTGAACAAATTGAACATGCAGTTCTGCAACATACCTGTTCCCTTCTGAGAAGTGTTCACTTCTGCAAAGTGTCATTATGTAGGTCAGTAACAAATAACTGTGGCTGCTGCTGAGGACACCTTTGTTTTACAGGGAAGCTCCACAGTCAGCGGATAAATGGCTGCACGGAGGAGCAGGGAAGTTGGGGTGAAATCTGAGAGCTGGCAAAATGTGGGTCAAACTTGATTGTGGCTCAGCCTATTGGTCTCATAAACATTAGCTGCTCAGCAGAAGGAATTTGACTAGAGCAAACCAGAGCTGCAGGATTGTAAACCTGCTTTGTAGACATAGAGCGAGTTTTATTTCTTTAAATTGGAACCAACAAACGGCTAGGTCATGTGACACACTGTAGATTTCTGCCGTGTCAGTCGTGCTGATAAATCTCATTTCGAGCTGGAGGGCGCAGACTTTGTTTGGAGGTTTTGACGTCACACACGCCACCGGGGGGGATTTGAGCACAGTTCCTCTTAATCATGTCTGCTGCCGGAGTCACCTACTGCCTCAGTCCTCTGAGCCCAAGGAGGAACCAGTGCCTTCTCACCAACGTTTGGAAAATATCAGCGATCAGAAATGACTAGGATTAGTTACTAAGCTAATCCTGGATGTGCTCCTCAGAAATAAAGACGACTACCTGTCTGCCACCGGGATTTAATGGTCTGACTGTCAGAGTGCTGATCCTCGCAGCGTGTCAGGAACTCCCCTTCTTCTCTTCCTCCTCCCTGCTGCCAACGTGATGCCTCAGCTCTGCAGCAGGAGAAGAATTTAGTGCTATAATCACAGCGTTTAGTGTTATTTACTGCCATTTAAAACCCTAATGTGTCTCAGCCGTGCTCAATGATAGTTGGCTCCACTGATGAGTGTCACCGTGTGCCTCTAATGTCCTCGTTTACTTTTAACGGCGGGTTAAAAGGATGATATCTATTGGATTCCAACAATTTAGTGGTTTAGCGTGACTGAGGTTGGAGTCGACTTGGCAGCCAATCAATGACCTACAATTTACCTACACATTAATCTGTTCTAATATTGTCCGCTGGTGAGGAGCTTTTCCCGTGTTTACCTGTAATCCCCCAGTGCGTCGATTAAGACCTGATCAACAAGAAGACCCTTGATCACAGCGGGGGACCCGGTAGATTAAAGGCTTGTACTGTGCCTGACCACAATGAAGCTCATCGCTCAAAACCCAGTGAATTTCTTCTTAAAGACAAGCCTGTCCGAGGAGGCGGCGGTGGTGGTGGGTGGGAGACGGGGGGATCTCCCAGTGTGCACCGTCATTGTGTGTCCTTTCAGAAACAATGACTCGTGACCGAGTCTGATTATCTGAGCAGACCACACGTGTGACCGATTCAGACTTTACTGTGTGAATATAGATCCTCAGATTTACAGGTTGTTGTCACTGGTACAAAACACTTCTGCTTCTGCTTCATGACACAATATACGGCACAGTCTCCATTTAAATCACTGGCAAAATGCCCTTGACAATTTTGTTAGTGGATTTTTCTTTAAAGCCTTTGTAAAAATATATCAACTTTTGTTCAACGTCAGCCAGCCTTCTCACAGCAGACCCTGCAGACTCCAGTGCAGTATTTTTCAGTGTAAGATTACAAAGTTCAAGTTGTAAAATAAGCCATGATTAGTTAGTACAATGACCAAAAAAGTTGTTTTTTTTTCAGAAGTGAACTCATTTTTACTGTACCCACAGTACGACTCCAGCCTTCTCATATAACTTCACGAGTTCAGATTTTATTCTGCCCCCCAGGTTTTTTTTTTTTCATTTGTTTTGCTCCTTCACTGACGTACCCCCAAGGTAGGCACGCCCCACGCTTTGGAAACTACAGGTCAGGTTTCTCAATTAAATCTCTTTTGGAGATTTTGGATATTTTGGCATTTTGTCTGATCAGAAATCTGGACCTAATATTTGGGTTTTTTTCAACAGATGTGTATCTGCACCTGAATGCAGCACAGTCCATTAAAGTTTAAGCAGAGACCAAAACTCCGTGTTATCAACCATGCATGTAAACATGCCATTTTTGGGAAGTGGAGACAGTTTGTGCAGCTCCTGCTGGTAAGATGTTCTGGACAATATCAAAGCGGCAGTGGTCTCCTAATGTATTAGCGGTTGACTTATTTTTATTACTGTCATTATACAGGGATTTGTCTCTGCAAGATTGTAGTACGTCTTTCTGGAAAATACATTAGTGTTTAATACCGTAATAGTCCACATTTTGTACTGAGAGAAAAGCTTCCATTGAAGTCTCTTCTCACCAGTCCTTGGAGCCAGCGGCTGCTCTTGGAAAAAGGGCTAATTATAATGCAAGGCCTGTGCCACGATAAGTGTGGCTAACTCACATGTGACCTTGGTGGTGAAGTGAGCCAGAGATAAAAACCCAAATATCCACTGTTTGTAGTTCAGAACAGACAAACAGGGGCTTTATACTTCACTTATTTCTCAACATTTTCTCCGACACAGGTGGTGGAGTCTGTTCCTCCACCAGTGGCATCCTGGGCAGAAAAGCTGAGTCGTTACTCTTGGAAACATTTTTGCACCTCTCCTGTGGTTGCCATAGTTTTGGCAACATACTGTAACTCCACAGCAGGGATGGATGGATGTTAGTGTAAGGACATCCAACCTCTCTCTGGGCTGGTATAGTCAGTCTGCTTTATGGCTTTTCATATCAGTATCCTTGTAGCTTCTCTGTACTTGGTGCTATATTGCATCATCAATCCGTTGCCGTCGTTCATCCAAACTTTGACGGGTTTCAGCCCAGCTTCAGTCCCATTTGTTGTCTTTTCAAAACTTGCGTTGAGAGCATGTGAAATAACCGTGATCAATCTCTGGGAGTCACATGAGCCAGTCAACATTCTGCACACTGAACCACAGGAAAATGACTCTGTGTACCAAGAATGCATCCTGGGCCTCTCGTTTTCTCCCGTGCCTCATCTTACCCACAGAGCTGACATCCCATTAAACTGCAGCTCCGTCCAGGATACCATCCACTCTAAATCTCAGGGCTGGAGCTTTTGCTGAATATCATGACTGCTGTCTTGGAAGCCTAACTGCGTCCATCCATTACTTGTTGAAATGCCATATGGAGGCTGCGGGATTTAGCTGTCGTTGAACTGCTCTTCACAAACGTCTGGGGCGATTACACCTAAGCTGCTTTGTTTAGGGGCCGCAGAAGTGCCACAAGCTGCTGTTTTGTGCGGCAGGACGCTGTAGCTGAAATCTGCTCCTCTGAATGTGAACCCTGAGTCACATTCAACAAGGATCCAGGCACTGAATGTTTAAATTATCCGTACAAGTGCAATGCAACATTAATGATGTCCTGAAGAGACAGCACTGAGCGTTTCGATAGCTATAAAAAATAAATGATCTATTGTATAAAACCAGACATTTATATACTCT